AAGGCAAAAGAAATGAAGCGCTTACTCTTCTGATTAATGTCGCGGTGTGCATAGGTATCTCGTGCAGGTAAGGCCAGGCCTTCGAGCAGCTGTAGCGCATAAACCATGATGACTGGCTCATCCTCGATGCGGCCGTGCTCTAACATCTTGGCGAGCGAGCCGCCGGAACAGAACTCCATAAACATGTAGACGCGGTCTCGATGGACTTCAATGCCATAATAAGACACGACGTTCGGATGGTCAACCGTTTCCAAGACGCGCATCTCTTCCCTAATTTGACCCGCGATGCTCGGAATTAGCTTGGGGTCCTGCAGGCGGATCTCCTTTACAGCCATCAGCTGACCCGTATCAAGGTTCATAGCGGCGTAGACGGTGCCAAATGTTCCACCGCCGACAAACTGGCCTTGCTGCCACCTCATGGTGAAGTTGGTAGCCGTCGACGACAGCCAAGCGAGCGAACGATCGACCTCGTTGGAGATCTCTAGCACACGGCCCATGGCTGACCGCTCTGAGAGAATCTGCCTCCTGAGATCGTCGATCTTGGCTAGCTCCTCGAGACGGTGCTCCTCGACGTACTTGGCGGCGGTCGCGTCGTCCGCGCCCTGCCCCTTGTTGAGCCGTTTCAGCTGGTTCATAAGAGCCTCTGTCCGCGCTTTCTCGGCCTGTGCGGCAATACTGGACCTGGCGCCCATGATGTCGAAGTGTGAGATCAAGAGCGCCATGCACCCGGCTACCTTCGCCCGTAATTTGGCGTACTCATCGTCACCAAGGGTCAGGATATGTTTACCCCCTGGTCATCCCCATGGCGAATTCGAGGGCTTGTACAGTCCAGCGGAACGTCTTGCGGTCGGAGGAGATGCAATCATCGCAGATAAAGCTCACCCAGTCCAGCGCAAGTTTGGTGAGTTTCATGTTGTTCATGGTCCGCCTGTTGTTGTCCATGTACAACAGCGAGCGCTGACCAAATTCAGTGGCGAATATGAAGCATGTTTGTATCAGTTCCTGGCAGTTGAGGCCCCGCGTCTGGCGGCGGATGGTCTCGACACTGTCCATGAATGCATTTGATAGCTTGAAGGCAACCTTTCGAATCTCCATGAGCCGGACGTTCACCTTTTGGAGACTCGACCTCTGCTCGACAACAAGATCGATATGCATGTCTATGCTGTCGAGGAACGCTTTCCTTGCATTCATTAGCGGTGCCTGGGAGCCGCCGGCGATGAGCCTCATGTGCCCAAGCTTGATGTCCAGCGGCTCGTCTCGAACCGATAGGTGGAGCTTTGCTCCAAACCAGGTAGGTGGTGCTTCGGCCCTTATGATGAGCAGGTAGGGATCGGAAGGGTCTTCGGTGATTGTTTCGTAGGAGAAAGTGCTCATTAGAAGTTGTATGTCGGCGCTGCGGCCGTGGAGGCTAGGCGAGGCAATGATGATGACGTTCTCGTGCTCGGGGCTTCCAGTGAGGATCTGGAAATGGCCCGATTCTACGAGGCGGTCGAAAAGCTCTTGGACCTTATCGGGGCTGAAGGCAACAGTGAAGTCGCAGGCGTTTTCGTAGTTGTCGCTGAGCATCCTGGAGAATCTCTGGAGCATACGTTGCCGTACGCGGACGGAATCCAGGATCTGCTTGTAACGTTTGGTCATATCTGATACGCCCTCCTTGGGCCTCCTCTGGAGCTCCTTCTCGAAGGTCTGGTTCAACCGGCCAAGCGCCTTGTAGGTGAGGGAGCTGAACTGCTCAGCAACTTCGACATCTCCGTGCGTTAGGTGACTTCCAATCTCGTTACCGAACCCCCACTCCTGAAATAGCAACTCCGCTTCTTTGAAGGTATTCTTATTGCCACTCAGCTTCCAGTTCAACATCTTAAAATAGTACTTGAGAGCATCTAGAATGACGCGGTCAAAGTCCTCGTCGATGCATGGGGGCAGGTCCCACCCGGGCTCGGGTTGTGAGATGGTCGTGTACTCGGATTTAATTTTGATTGCTAGCTTTAGCAGGACCTGGAATTGGGAGATCATCTGGTCCTGCATCATGGGGTTTTGCTGCGCCGACTCCTTCATTTTCTTGGCGTAGGCTAGTCGCACCTTGATGATCTCTTCAATGAGGCGGGATGGGAAACTGATCAGCGTGAGAAGCTCTTCAATGTAGGGAGGTAGGTGTCGTTTTTGAAACGCTTCGGCGTTCTGGATCAGGGTGTCCTTGGCCTTGGTTATGACCATGGAGATGCTGTCTAGCATGCTCTTTCTGCTGAGGTGTTTTTCACCGCCGTCATCTGCGTGCAGCGATTTCAGGCCCTCTTCCTTCATGAGCCTGTCCAAAAAGGAGGTTTCGTCGTTGAGTCGGCCGGAACTTTCCCCGGATCGCTGGAAATCCAGGTCGTCGTTGCCCACCCATTTCTTTAGAATAGAAAGTTCGATGTTGATCATCTCGTTAACGTTATGCCATGAGACGACGGCATCGCAAGTTTCTTGATATGCCATGTACGTTGTGGGTTTGAGAGCCGCAACTAGCCCAGTGCCGGATGGGTAAAGGGCTTCAATCTTTTCGATTTTCTCGATGGCGTCTCGGACCTGTTCGACAGGAGGCTTTCCGGCCTCACTCTCGCCGGCAATGGAGAAGTTGATGACATCATTTACGGAGCGGTCAAGCGAGGCGCGGGCCTCCTCCAGCATCCGCCGCTGAACTGGCAAGTGTCTCCCACAGACCCGGGCGCGAATCCCCAGCCAGAGCTCGGCCTTGTGTGCGCTCTTGCCGAAGTCTTCGTCAGCGGAACCAATGAGTCGCTTTTTTTCCTGCCGAACAACATCGCCCGTCAGGACGGACTCCAGCATCCCGTGCCATTCTAGTCTCTCGCGGCTGCCAGAATCCTGCAAATCCTCCTCGGTAATCTGGTTCTCCTCATTATTGACGAACATGATGTGTGCGTCGTCATATGTATCGAACGGCTCTTCGGACGAGGGGGTCTCGCCTTCAGAGTCCGAGTCGTACTGTTCCACCGAGCCATATGCGTCGAAGTAGTCGTTGTTGTGATCTTGCTGGCGCAACCTCCGCACGTATTCTCGCTCTTGTGCGCGGAACGTCGAGGTCCCGACTGGGCGGGGCCTCGAGACGTCCTTAATGTGAAGTCCGCCATTGTTGCCGAAGGAGGCAGTGCCAGGCTGGTTGGGCCGCCGCTGCGTGTAGGGCTGATAGGTGTTGGAAGGGGTCCTGGCAGGCCCGGTGGGACGTTGCGGCCGAGGTGCCGTCCCGTTGGAGTACGAAGCGGTTTCGGCGGTGCTACGCTGGCGGGTGCCCCCGCCATTCGATAAGGCGCCAGAAGAGTGCGGCTGCACGCTGGCGGGATGGGCCACCTCAACGTATCGGCCGTGTGTCCCGAGGTCATCTTGCTGGTCTATCAGACGGGGGCTTAGGTGGATGTCCCCGTTCCCCGATGCCATTGCATTCTCCGAATCGGGTATTATTGTCGACGGGCGTCCACTATTCTTGATCTTGTCTGGCCGGGCATGTCCGTCGTCGTCGTGGGCCGAGAAGCGCACGGTGCGGGGGGAAGGTTCGCTCGCCATTCCTCGACCGGGAGACTACTTATTAGAAGTAAAATACAGTCGACGTCGAGGAATCTCAAGGCGGGGCTGCCGGCGCAAGCACAGATGTTTATGGGTGGGGCTCCGAAGAGGGCCGGGAGACCGATATTGATGATGGGCGGAGGTCAGTGCTGCCCGTTGCGGTGGGTGTGTACGATGATGAGCCGGCAAAACAATGCGAGTAAAATCACCCGCTGCTCTCGGAAACCGAGCTGCATTGATTGTTGGATCGATATAACTCGGCCATCGGCGTTGGTAAAGGGGGTTTGGGACGGTAATGGCAATCGTACAATCGATTCGGATTGAATCTCGTCTGATTTGGTTGTTTCGACTCGAGGGACCACCTCAAAGCTGCCAGTGTGTCAATGTCCTTGGAGAGAGTGGTCATCCGAAAGCACAGTGGCGAAGACTTGCCCGAGCTCCATGGTTGATGGGGTCTAGCAGAAATGCTTCCGATTGGCTAAGTCTGCACCCTCTCGTCTGTGAGTGGCTTTCTCCTCACAGCTCAAGCGGGGCCATGGGCGAGCAAAGTGCAGAGGCATGATTTGATACTGTGCAAAACCTGCAACGTTTGGAGGAATGGACCGTTTAAATCGATGCTACGAACGGTACGGCGGCCTTGGTTCGACAGTGCATGTCAAGACCCGACAACCATGCGGTTGTCCATTGCCTTCAATCGACAAAAGTGTCGATCGCTTTTGTGGACCCGTTCATCAGCTGCACCACATCGAAACAGTGGAATTTGATCGTACCAATAAAACGAACGAATGATGAAATGAGAATGACGAATCTTCTACTATGTACTGCGTGTGCCCGAGGGATGGCCGAATTCCTTTTCATCTTTCCGCTTTCTTTTAGAAATAATTCATCACAAAAGGCTAGTAGTGGTGCTGTGATGCAAAAATACGCCACACATACCTTGGCAGCTTGGTTCGATCCTTGTTGCGCTGTCGCCTTCGTTGTGGCGGTGCGGCATGCCGGCAGAAATGTGCCAGCAGTTGAGGACGGTCTGTGCGCGATCGCGTTAACAAATGGTTTCCGCGACGCGTGACGCCAGAAGCTTACCGAGCGTGTAGTGGCTTAACTCCATCTCACACGCGCTTGAACAATTTAGGGATTATGCTGGGGGACATGTCCACACTCCTATCCTTGGCGACCCTAGACAACCCAAACCATTGATTGACTGTCCAATTGTTTACAATGTATCATTGATGGTTAGAGGTGTTTTTATTACGATATGTCCTCCTTTGTAGGACAAAGTGCGAGCCTGTCGCGTCCCGGGAGCAGACTTGACAATCGTTTCGACAACCGGTTCGACAATAAATTCGAGGCCAAACCGTCGAGCCGACCCTCTAGCAGAGCATCCGTTAGGCCATCTTCAGTCGCCGGTATTCATACATCCGCATACGATGCAGAGTTCAACCGCACCCGTCCCCAGAGCCACCAGAGCTTGCCTGGCCCAGGTCCAGGTCCGGCGAGCCCCAGCTCCGGCAAGCGCAAGAGAACCCTCCCCACTCCGACCGTTGATGATGGTCTCCTGAGGGCGCCAATTGTTCTCAAGGTATGTTGGACCTAGTGCTTGAATGGTCCTCAAGGACTCAAATAGAGGCAGCAAGAAAGACTCACAGTTTGCTAGCCACACCCTTCGAGCATATTAGCAAAGCCGCGCATTCTACATCCTCTCATGCTTCTACCTCGCGAGGCCCTGCCGCTGTCAGCTCTCGACCTCTCTCAACCTCACGGCGACTTTCCCGCTAGTCGGCTTTTCGAATCCAAAATTAAGATTCTCGATCTTGAGGACCGTCTAGGATCTAATATTCTTCTCGCCCGCTCAGAAACAACCCGTCTGGCATATGCTGTCGAACGTGAGAGCAGTGGGCTATACGTGCTGTGCAAGTTAGGGTCGTGGGTGGATATCGAGCTGCTCAGTCAGAGCGCCACAGTCGTGTGTAAGGAGCGGATGAAGAGTGGGAAGGCTGTTAAGCAGGAGCACGCCGCTGCCACGCCGGTCATTACGCCTTCGATGTACAACGATAACAAGAGGCGGAGACTGGCTATCGAAGAGATACAGTCCTTGGTTCGAAAACGTTCAATGTCGGTCATCGAGAAGGAGCCGCCAAAGCCAATGCCCACGCCAACGGCATCTGAAAGCCCAGCGCCATCCGGGGCGGGCGACATTGGATCGGAAAACCCGGTGATGGAACACGAGGAAACCCCCATTGTGCCTGGACCGTCCGTATCTAGCAGGCCAGATACCCCCGCACCAGCGACAGAACCCGTTCTCGACCCCCTTACACAGCCCAACGCCGAGGATATCTTTCTCAATATCAGAGCTCAGTATATGGAAGCCCTGTATCATTCAAAAGGTATTGTCTTTCCTTACGTGTCATTCGCTGCCCGTTATGACCAAAAATAGAGGCTCGTTAGCGTACTTTGCCAAAGGCCCTCTTTCCAAGGCGAGGGCGACGTTCCATTTGGACTGGGACTCCAATCTCAACATGAATGACCTGGTGGAGTTCCTAAAGAGTCTCGTCATGACCACCGTCATGATTGACAAGAAGTATCGCGAAACAATTCCTGAGATCGTGGCGAAAATGAAGACGCTTACCCCGGACTCGGAAAACGGCGCCTCAAAGCCCAAGAAGAAAAAGGCGAAAAAAACGAAGTTGGGCAAGGACGGGCTGTACCCGGGTGAGATTGACCATGTCCGGCGATGGTGGACTTCGCACCAACCCAGCTCAAGCGGGGATGATGCGAAGGCTTTGAGTGCGACGGAGCATAAATACCACGTATCCTGTCTGCGAAGGAGGGAAACACAACTGCAGATGATCTTGGTGTTGGAGATTCTGGCTCTCGAGCCTGTGGCGTTGGCCAAGGGCGCTGAATGCCAACTCCCTGGAATGGAATCTCAAATTCCCTCCCGAGAGGAGAGCCAGGAACCAGCGGCCAAAAAGAGGAACAGGCACAATCTGCCAGTGCTCCTCGATGTGCATGCGGACCGTCTCTGCATCTGGCAGTCCACCACGTCGGACGAAGTCAAGGCGGTCGCCGAGTCGCAAGTGCCCACGGAGGGCCATGAGGGTGAGCAAGTAGAAAGGGCCAATTCCGACCCCCTGAGGGACTTTTGTGTGGATATTATTGTGCCATTGTAAGTTATCGGAGATTCTACTGCCACGTACGCATGTACTAACCCACATCAACAGTTTCTCAGCCCGCCTTCCAGGTCCCTGCGACTCTCTCAACCGCAAGCTAGGAGGCCCGGTCGCTCAGTCCCCCCTCAGAGCAAAGGTGCCTAGTTCGGCAGTCAAGCCGAAACCGGGCGCCCCGATGAAACGACCAGCTCCGAAACGGGACAAGGACAGGACACTCGAGCGTGCCCTCTCCGTTGAGAGGAGCAGACGCAGCGTCTCACGAGGGCCTGCCGCAACAATTGCCCTATTGCGATCCGCGACACAAACCGTGATACCGGGGTTGAAGCGAGAGGCAACCGATTCATCACTAATGGGGCTGGTCCCGCGGGCGGAATCTGGCTTGGCCAAGGAGCGACCATCGAATGTATTCTCAAGGAGCTTGAGTTTGGGTGGGGTCGACCTGAGGGCACAGAAGAAGGCCCAAGTCGACGCCGAGCTCAAGGATGCTATCTCGGCGCTCAAGAAGCCGAACCGAACCCTAGCGGCCAAGGATATTGTCGAAGCAGCCGAGAAGCGGGCATCGGCTGGGCAGCTCAAGAGTGAGTTTCTCAACCCCTGCGACTTTCCAACGGACACTGACCTCCCCACAGAAATGAGAAAACCGACTCGTACCCCTGGTGTACAAGTCAAAGCCACGCCAGCTAACAATCGTTTCAAAGACGCCTTCACAGCTGACAAGGCCCAGTCTCAGCCGGCCCCGTTCCTCGACGCAGCTCCCTCCAGCGCTTCCGTCATCCCCGCATCCACTCTCCCACGCAAGTTCACCGACCGACTCCCCGCGCCCAGCCGACTGACCGGCCGCATCCAAGCGACACCAGTGCGACCGACCTCGTCCATCCCCGCCACAGGCCTCCGGCCTGTCCAGGAAACGCCCGGCGGCCCCGGCATCTTCCCTTCCTCGCCTATCATGGCCCGGAAAGCCGCGCCGGCACCCCCACCCGTGTTCGCGCTCGCCCAACCGCGCGCCAAGAACCTGCCGGCTCCCGCGGACCGCTCCGGGGGTGCCGCCGGGGACATTCCGTCGTCGCCTGGGCTAGGCACGCTTTTCGAGACGCCTGTCATGTCGCGGTCGGCGAGGGCGCGCATGGACGTCGTGGATGATACGCCCATCAAGTCGAGACTGCCGCTTGGGGTGGCGGGGGATGGGGGGAACAGGGTTGGGGGAGGAGGTAAGCTGGGCGGGGCGGGGAAGGTGTTTGGTGGTAGTGGAGGGAGTGATGGCTCGGGAGATGCAGGGGCGGAGGAAAATGGGGGTGGGAGTGGGAGTGCGAGGGGTGAGAATCCCGGCGTGGCGAGCATTTACCAGCGGCTTGGCTGGGATACGACAGATCTGGATGATATTGATGACCTGTTATGAGTGGATAGATTTGTTTTGGTTTGGTTTTGGCGGGTGTCGGGGCACTTGCATGCGCAGTGGTGCCTTAGGTAACCCATTGGCTCGGTGTTTGGGGGTTTGTTGGAATACAGGATCGATGGGCTTAGATGTTGATACCTACTGAGAGGAGCATAGCTGGGTGGCATGGAGCAATGTGGCATGGAGCACTGTGGGCTAGAGGCAGGATCGGGGAGCATATTTTCCAATAGCTTTATTTGGTAGTTGGATAGGTGTACAATAAGAGAGAAATTATCAAACAGCTCATCC